AGGAGTTGTTAGCACTTAACAAGCGATCGGTTCAGACCTCTACTATCAACAACCAGAAAATTGCAACAATCTATTGAAGAAATCGGTCAGAACAAGCGAACAGAATATACATTGTTTTTTTACCATGACGATGTCCACATATGTTTTTAGCTATCGAACAAAAGTTTGGAGAACTCGAATGGAGAATCTTAATGTGCCCGTCCCATAACGCACCCCCCATACTGCCATCTGTTTCGCTCTCTGCAAAAAATGGTTTTAATTTAGTTCCAACGGAAAGAGGTAGAAATCACTTGTCGCACTTTTTGGGCTAGAAACCCAGAGGATGGGATTATGGTTAACTGCAGAACATCATTTATCAAAGTGGTGCATATTTAGTTTATGAGTATTATCTTAAACTATAAAGGATGTTTGCTTCGCTGTTGACTTGAAAACGATCGATTCTTCTCCGACGAGCCAATGTTATCAATAAATAGAAAAACAAATAGGGAACTATAAACAGAAGGCAGCTGGAACAATACGCTATGCTAATCTCCGATAGAATCTTATATCTCAAGTAGATACATCGCTATGGATTTTTTCAAATTAGATCGAATGTACCAAGTACGTTGCTTTTTACTCTCAATTGGAAATCTGTGTTTTTCTCGTTGAGGTTTAATGCGTCAACGAGACGCACCGACATTTTGCTTTCTTTCATCGAGAAAAGAAAGGAACTTAAACGGACGCTAGTTTGTATCACAAAAAAGAAACTCATCAACGAAGTAGCAAAACCTAATCGATGGCTTCATTCAAATAACCTATTTGAAGCACATCCCTGCTACCCCTTCAGTTTTCATATCACTTCGCCATTATTCCACTGAAGTATCGGCCGAGCTGAATTAGAGGGCTATGTGATCTTCGCCAACAGATAAAAAATAGTTCTACTCAAGATACGTAAATAGGTAGAGCAAAAACACGTGTGAGAGAGGCAAAAAGTGAGGGAACCCACCTATCCCCTATCTTCAGTATCTCCCTCGAGACCATCAGATGGTTAGGGGCCAAATCAGCCAACTAATTCTACCCAGCATGACTTTTTTCCATTGACTCACCGTTCCTAGTAAGCCAAGTTTGTTGCCCTGCAACTACGGCCGTACGCAAGTCGATTATCCGTCCACTGATCGTTCTTGGCTGCCAGCAGCAGTTACCGCTTCGTTAATAGTTTTTTTCTGTTTTTTAATTTTATCAGCACGGGAACAATGTCAACAAATCGGCCTGAATATCCATTTCAATTCACCTATTCGTCTACCTGCTCACGCGCACAGTACACCATGCGATGCTCGTTATGAAGGAAGCGTTAGAAAAATGACGAAGTACACATGCCAGCTATCACACATACCGTGCCTATATAGCCATGGTGCGATAGTAGGACATCATGCCTACACCTTTCATGTATAATATGGTCTATTGAGCAACCAACATTAATGCTTATTCAACTTACCCGTGCCTGTCCTTCTTATAAACTCTTGTGCTACAGCCACTGATACTGTAGGATTGTACCTTCACCGAGCGATATCCATGACGATAGAACAACAGGAATGGAACTGCTTGCTTTTCCGTAGGCGATGTCAAGCGGTCAGTCATCTGATTCCTTCAGGCCTTTCTACATAACAATGCCTTACGGCAAAAAAGGCAATGAATGGGGAAGAATCACACGAACCTGACGGGTTTGCTTATCCCCGATGTATTCATAACCCCCTAGCAAAAAATCTAGCACAAAGCACGGACACGATCGGACGGTGTATTGTATTCCATCGTACGAACCAGCCGGCAGTGGATATATCATACCAAAAATATCTATCGCAAGCAGATACGTACAGTACGATTTTCGCCTCTGTTCTTTCCTACCTTGTATGTAAGGTACGATCCCTTGGGACGACGTAGGCACATAATAGGATAGTGTCTTGCCACCTTTCTAAACGCGATGACCTTTTTCGGGGGAGGGACATGACACGCGGCATACATTCATTTCCATTATTTCATAGTACTACGTGGGTTTTTCCAAGGGGGCAGGCAACAATCGCGTTCGATATGAGGTCAGATTTTCTTGGTTATTTAAATATAATATAGACTACATTAAATTATTTTAACAATGCAACCGCTGAAGAGCTATATCTCAGTAGAGTAAAGTTCGACGTAACCTGATAATCCATTTCACTTCAGAGCATTTATTAACAGCTTTTCTTTGGTGTCTTAAATCGTGGGGATGAGTAGGGTACTAGCAAGTTGAGAAAGTGTAGACGAAACATGATAGATCGTGAAGTCAACAGACGCTACGCCTCATGAAAACTAGTCAAAAATTAGCGCTGACGTTTGGCTATTAAATGCATAAAGATGATATTGCCAATGGACCCAATCGTACCGTGGAACCCTGATCCAAACCATCTACAAGATTGGAACTAGCCTCTAGGCATTGCCAACCGTCTGTCAATAAACCGGGCTGTATTACTACTCAGCGATTTCGTACTACAAGTAATACCGCGTATCCGTGTACTCATTGGCTACCCAAAGACAGCCGAAACTTGCTCAACCTCATAGTATACACGTGACCCATGTGTGTCCATTCGCACACTCCTACCGATCTATATATATATACAGAGGCCACTGTTTGGCTTTCCCATATGTCCATAGACACCTGGCTGTACAAAATGACAGCGTCTAAGTGCACACTGAGAACGCGGACAAAAGGAGCTCGAACTTGAGCTGTATAGCTTGACATCTCATCAAGCACTACATCAGCCAGTCTTTTCCGCTGTCCCGAAGTCATCTGCCGCAAAAGCGAGCTTAAGTACTGTTTGGTAAGAAGTTGCTGAACAGAATAAAGAAATAGTAATGGAGTAAATTGAATTTCAATAGAAAATGCGCTCCTGTTTTCCTAATGTCTTGATTAGCTAAGAGCTATCTATCTACAAAATATATATAAATCGTGTTATGTATACGTATAACTTCCTCGTTCGTAACCCACTGCACGGCGAAATGTACATTCTCTTTCAAGCTTTTCTTGCTGTCATTCCACTAGCATCTGTCGCTGGCCCGTACGCCTTTCTACCACAATTATTTTCTGCTAAACAGAAAACTATCGTAGAATATATTGTGCGACAAGCAGTTCGTTGAATGTTATCCAATTTCCGGAGCGAGATCGAGTAAGGACAATTGACTTCCATGATTATTACTACCACCACCTACATCTACAAGGAACTCGAGTTTGTAACCCAACACTATCACTATTGGCCGACCGAACTCCCTCCTGCTTGACAAACCAAACCCGCGCGTGAAGGCCAGATGCACAGAGAAGCAAATAACCTGATTTTTTTGTACTATCAGAGTGTCTCAATTTTTTTGGGGGGGGGAGGGGGTGAGTTATACTTCGAATGCTGGTTATATTATCCGGCTCTACGAGGTTTTATCGCTTTGAGACGACTCAGGTTGCGAGAAGCGCGGGTAGGGCATGGGTAACCGGTGCTAGTTGAGTCGCTAGGTGGTCTCAAAGGAAGTACAGCCGGATGTAAGTGGGTTAAGCAGGGGCCGTAGTGGCCGGGTATGAGTCAATGTCACCGGTTTGGGTAGCTAAAAAGGGGCCCATTTGCCCTCTGGTAACTATTCCGTCTTGCGTTGCTCCTCAGTTGCGCACTCGCTTGACCTACTCGTTTACTAGCGAATGAACATGGGCAGTGCTATGTGCTGGCTGGTTCAGGCTCACTTGTCCTAGCTAAATAAGCCTGCATCGCTGCTAACGGATAGGACTTTGGTCTCTACGCAGTCCCAACCCGTCCAGTAGAGCTGCTCCTGCTTTGCTATTCCCCCAAACCTACAGATAGTATTCCTGCCTTCCCTCTTTAAAACCCTATAGTAAGCCCCTTTAGTTCGGGCCATAGCCTGCGTTACTTACGAAGGTGTCGCCCTCTGTTGAGCACACATGAGGACCGCTATCGAAACTCATTAGCGATCACTGACTAGTCGTTCAGATGACTAGCTGACTGTTTCTTTAATGATGGGTGTTATCTTAGATCGGTTGCTTTCTTGGCCTGCTATGGTATTCTATAGTCTTGTTGTCAGAACGCCGCTGAGGCTAGAGGAGGGCATAGTAGGCCCGCTGCGTGCTAGAGTCAATGACGCGTTGTCAAACAGGCCACTGCCGTCAGCTCACAATCGACGGCTTGCTGGCGCGGCTGTGTTATGCCACCGTCGTCTGGCCAGTTGAAAGAAAAGCTTCTAGCTGCGCGTTCTGGCGCTCCTCTTTTTATGTACAGATTATCGGGTCGGGGGTCCAGGTCTCTCCTTTTTCGTTTCCTCACTACATCCGCTCTCTTCTACGTTTGCCTTCTGTAGTTTGACCGTAACCACCCACCCACTAGCTATTCCTCTTACCCCTTTCTCCTCTCCATTATTTTTTTAATTGTTTCTCTTTCCCCCCTAGCTTTTCACTATTGCGCATTTTGTACTTTTTCCTTTTTCTGTGTCTGTCGTTAGCTGGCTTGCAGATCCGCTCGCTCCCGTCCTTTGAATAACGAAACCCGTCGTTGGAGCGGTCTGCCAGGCCACATCCTAGCTGCGTGCAGCTCGCTAGCCGGTTGAGCTCAGCCTAGTTGCCCCTCTGGCTCCTGCTTGCCGCCAACTCATTATCGAACGTGGAACACGGACCTTGGCGCTCGCAGCGCACGGTTCTTCACGTTCTGCATTCAGCTCTCAGCCTCCTTTTGCGACCTCTTTCTATCATCGCATCGTCGTCGTTAGCAACGGCGACCAGCGACATCGTCGTCGTCAACGTTTTTGCAGTAGCGGGGGAAAGGGTAGCCTCAGAGGATCAATTCGGAGCGAACAATGGAGAGGTGGGCGAGGGTAAAGGCGCGCACCTCTTCACTGCTACTGGCTAGGTCCTTGTGCCTGACTCTCTGCTGTCTGCCAGGCCTTGCTGTCGTCGTGTCCGAACAAGGAGGCCCAACGAACGGCAGAACCAACGAGGAACAGCGGCAGCTAGCAAACAGGCGGCTGCAACTAGCCGACGACAACGAAGGGAAGACCGCGGCTTCCTACTGAGTGAGCGGCGACGGACGAGGGGACGGACTTACGGACGGAGCAACGAGTGTCCGCAAACGCAAGTAAGTTCGTTCGCCTAAACAACGACGGCCCAGTCAGTAGTAGGTCGCAGGCCGCGCTGAGCTGCCATCTAAAGCCGAGCTGGCCAAGCTAGTTGTCGCTGTTGCCGTTTAGGTCCATCACTGAGACAGAAACCGCCGACCTGTCCCATAGCTCCAATGTTCCACAAATATAGCCGCTATTGTCGTTATCCTTATTACTACTGTGTTCATGCCATTACTAGCATTATCAATGGAGTTCTTCTATGTCGAGGATGAGTACAACTAATGGAAGCACTGATGTAACAACAGGTGCTAATGATTTAATAATCTACCACTGATGATTCACCAGCTCTGGCTTCAGCTGTTTTATTCCACACGTCGTTTTTCCTGAGCAACATTTTACTTTGTCTACGATTCGTTCAATGAAGAAGAACGAATAGTTTGGCGGCATCAGCCGAACGTACTTGATGATGCCGATAATGGCAAGCGGCGCCTGTAAAAGTGAAAAACACATACAGGTACAGTAGCTGTTGCTTCTGATGCTGATGCCGTAACAATAAACTCTACCACTGTGGCCATCGCCAGCGAAACGGTCATCACGGCCTTTTTGTCCAACATCGACTAGGGCCTTATAGAGGCAGCAAAAAGGAGTGGGGCTACCAACACAGTCAGTGCCAGCATCGTCGAACTGGAAAGCGAAGCACGTAACAACGTTCGCCCTACGTATACAACAGCAGCAGGAAAACTGCCACAATAACAACAAACAATCAAGCAAGTGGAATCGCTTAATTCGTTAGTGAATGATACGTTCCAACTGGATTAATCGTGTGAAAGAGATATATCTCCAAAGCAACGAACGCAACCCGCCCCAGTGATAGGTTCACTATATTGTATGTTAGTGCTTTCTTGTTTGCTGGTGGCTGGCTGTGGAAATCATCTGTGGTAGTACTGTGCTACGACGTGTATTCACGCATCTGTGCTTGTGTGTAGGACACGTATCTCTTTTGTTATTTCTGTAGGTGAACGCCAAGCACAACGTAAACCTGGGTTCGTGGGAACACTACCACCTTAGCGCGTTGTCTGTATTGTATTGTATTGTTTATTGGTATCAAGCTAGGGTCGGTAAACTGTATTATATTGAACATAGTTATCCTAATAGGTTGGGTGACCGAAAACCTGAGAGGGTTGTTGCAGGCGGGTTCATTTAACCTCAAATCGACGCCTCGAAATTGTTGGAAAGCGTTTTAAGTCATTGTAAGTAGACTGTTTCGCGTAGCGAACACCGCTTTTGCCGTGTCTCTGGATTAGACACAGGAAACGCTTACTCTATTTCGATTTCCTTCAGCAGCCGTCGCCTGTTGCCGTTACAATTGCTACTACTGAGTGCTCTAATTTAGACTGCTATTACCGACCAGTATATCAGCATCAGCAGACGCGTCATTGACGTTACGCTGGGTGCTGCTTCGTCACTACGATCACGATTCAATTGTACACTCGACGACGTTCCGAGCTCGAGGGAAGTGGGACGACGTGCCCGATTCGTACGGCTATTACAATCAATATTTTTCCAGTGCAGTGCTTTCAGTGTGGAGAAGGAACAAGACACAAAAGTCACTCCTTTAGCTGCCGAACGAATGCCACACTTACGAGACGGATCGTCGACAATTCCAACGATCAGCAGGAGATAAAATAAGAGATTTCTACTGTTCGACGAGTAGAAGCCGGCTTGCGGAATCAACCCGTCTATGCGCGAAATCATGTTATCCTCCCCATGTCGAGTACAAGTTAGATCTCATGCGTAACGTCGAGATAGTGGTCTTTCTGGAGTGGAGTTTTTCTTAAAAAGTCAATTAGAATACATAATATCGATTGCTATCAGCGGGGAGGAGGAGAAGAAGAAGAAGAAGAAGAAGAACGGAACATGAACTGCGGTGATAAGCTGCGATAAATCCAATGGTAGTTTACGTTAATGAATAGCGCCCTATTATAACTGTACCGTTACTTCCGTTACCGGCAGAATAATAGCTCCATTATCAGGTTTGTCACGACAACAAACAGCAGTGAGATGGTTTCTCGCCACCCCCTCCGCTGATCGCGCCACAGTTCTCTCGTAGCCAATAACAGTCACAGTAAAGTAGAGTTTCGAGCTACCTGACGCTAAGCGTTGCCAAATCACCACTTACAACATGAACATGGGTAGCGCTTTAGCAATAATTGTAGCCACCTGTAGCCCGCTCGGGATGCTGGACAATGGCAAAACAGAAATAACAATAAAAATCGCAACGCTGATAAACTAGGTACGGTCGCCAGGAGTGAGGACAGACAGCATCACATGTTGGCCTATCCAGAAGCAACAAACGACCCGCGACCGCTGCAACGAAAATAAACTTAGAAGAAGCGGCGGCTGTCGGCAGGCGCTAGTAAGCTAGATAAATAGTAGTAATGTTATGAGTAGAACTAGCAGTGAAAAAAACGTGGCTGGCTATCGGTAGTGGCGTCAAATATCTGCTGGTTCACGAAGATAAAATAAGTTACTAAGTAAATTTTCACACTCATAAAAATCTATAATTATACAATACGTCAACAAAGTGCCCCAAGTGACGCTGGTCGTCTTAGCCTGCGTGCCCGGTCTAATCCAAAGTTTCGTATCACACAGTCGCAAGTAGTGGCAATGACAACGACATCTAGTACCGCATGAGGCAACGGCGCGCTTCGTACGCTGCTAAGTAAATATTTAGGTAGCCGATGCAGTAACAGTGTTAGAAGCGATGTTAGTTAGCCAATACGGCAGTGCAGTAGAACGGCAGTGCAGTAGAGTCCTAGCGCAGTGTCAGACCGTTAAGGTGACGACCCTGAGCATTTAAAAGGCGGCATCCCTGGACAGCGGCTCAGTACCCAAGATTGCCCTTGGGCGAAAATCTCTTTCTCAATTTGCTGCTGTTTGCCTACGTACCCGAATGAAAGGAGAGACTACTATCAACTCTGTCATCGCTCAATAGGACAAACACGGCAACGCTGATTAGTCCCGTGTTTCAGATTCTGCACGCGACGGGGCTTACGCTGTCTGTGCCATCGTTCCGCTGCTCAGAGAGTGCAATCTGCTGTCAATCGCGTGGCGATTGTTCGTATGAAATCGTGTTCATTCCGTCAAAGCGTAGTAGCTTTTTCGCCCTTTTTAAGTCATAGACCAGAGCTAGAAAACACAATGGAGAAAGAATTTATGCCACGTGCGCTGGGTATGCCCAGCCATCATCAACGAAGGGCCACTACTTCGAAGTTGATTTAGTTAAATCAAGTAATCTATCAGCAGCCAGAGGTCGACAACGGAATAAACGAACTATAGAAAAGACACTTCTAGACCAAGGCAATAACGAAGGAAGCATAGTGATTTCGTCGAGTTAGATTTGCATTTTGAGGACTGCAAACGTGTAGCATTTGGGCTTATGATTTTCCACACGGTGTCAGTGGAGTGTTAATGTTTCGACCTAACACGCGTTCCAGGACAGCGCAGGACCTTATAGGTGAGTCAAAAAATTACAACGACAACAATACGAACAATAACAATGGATAATACTTGAGTATGAATCTCATGCTAGAAACAACGAGTAGAATTTTACAAGGGGAGCCCCGTACTCTTCCCGAATAAGTAATGTTCGAACACCTACCCAGTTCTACTAGGTCGGAAAAAAGCGTTGCTAACTATATTCGAATCCGGATTGGGTCGATTGAGTCGGATCGTTGACGACCGTTAGGAAACGTTGAATAAAGACTGTTGAGTATAGCGGTAAGGGTCTTACTGAAACCCTTTCGCCAAGTCCGAATAGGAACGGTGTGCTATAAGGACCCTGAGAAACAGGTTTTCTTGTGACGGCGGCAAATCCACGCAAAAAATATTCAATTTAACAGCACAAAAAGGCTCCCTGCGACGGTAGCGCAACGACGGTGACCTCAAACTTCTAAGGAACACATTGATCGTGAACGAAAAAGTAGTAATATTTTTGTTTGTTCGGACCATTTTTGATTCGCAAGATGGCTATATGAGCCGGTCATCACCCCACGCTCCCCATACGGGCTGAATCAAGCTGAGAAATATAAGCAACAGCTTACAATAGAAAATAACAGAACTTAACATCATTCATTATACACAAGCGCTTTGGGGGTGCGCGAACTGTTTTCTCAAGCAAAAGCATCTAATGAGTATGCCAAATTCTGTAGAGCATAATTCCAACAGCGATTAAGAGGGTACTAGGAAGCCGACATGGGTGAAAGCAAACAAATCGACGTTTTTCTGTTACTATTGTCGCTAATAATTTGTTCGGGTCGCGAACTTGAAAAGGCTCTATTTCTGCTACATGGCCTGAGACACCTTGCCCAGCCGGATACCCTGTGCCATTGTCAATACACGTCATACTTTTTGACACGCTCGTTCGGTGACCGGACGCGGATACATTCTGCTAAACGAACGAACATATCCGAGTTAGAGGTTAGAATATACGCGCTGACACGGTCGAACTCTATCCCGTGTAGGCGGGTCGAGGAAACTGTCCGACGATCGCGACGCCTCAAAACAAAACCAGCGACCTCCGGAGGGATTGTAGTTCCTGTATTTTGCTCCGGAGGGGTGGAAACAACTGCCATCTAGTGACAGATGAGTAAATAACAGCGTCCATGTACGCGACGTAAGATCGACAGATAAGAAGTTAAAACTATAAAGAAAATAAGATAAAGAAGACGAGAAAAACGAGCCTTCGTAAGAAGAGAACGTAATTTACTGTTTCTGTCGGCGTTGTGAATGCCTCCGTGCATATGAAGGTTTGTGTGTTCTGCCGCTCTGTTTGTGTGCTGTGCCGTAGCAACTAAGGAGAGAAGACCGAATCGTACGTGTCCAATGAGTTTAAGGTTGAATAATTCGTTATTGATCTTCTCGGAGATACTGACAGACACAAACTGGGCCAGCAAACGGCGCATGGAAGAAAGCTAAAGCGAAACAAAAAAAAAAAGGGCGTAGCTGGCTCCATGAACGACGCCATAAACATTTTCATTCGATGAGTAATTAATGGTGTCATACAACAGCGGCGGGTATGGCTGCAAGGCGCATTGGAGAGCCGACTCCACTATGAAATAGCAATCGTACTAATCCTACACTTAACAAAGTGTTGATTATTAAAAAAGTTGAAAATTATGCAGGATCCAGTGGTCATAGGTAGGTAGAACGTCCCGTCAATGGTAACGTATTTGCCTACTAAAGTTAGTAGGCATACGAAATCTGAGTTGGAGATCAGAGTACACACCCTTCTGTCCGTATTAGAAGAAACGTTCGGCCATCTCAATCGATGTTTAATAACAATAACACCACGCGAAAGTCGACACACTTATCTGACTGATTAAAATACCCGTGCGGCCTCCGTTGCAAGGAACAACATGAGTCGTGGCAGAATTCGGCATTATCTGGGACATGCTTTTCTGCCTGGAGCTAATGATGACCGCCGAATGGCATAAAAAAACTGGTATAAATCACAAAATATTATACTGTCAAAATGCTTAAAAAAGATTTTAGGGAACTGATTCATGGCACTGGCATTGTGCTCTTGGCATACATATTTATCATAAAAATGCCGTAGAATGCACCTTTTATCCAATGTTACAGTATGAACATAGGACGGAAATTGTACCTTGACCTTAAGTTTCTTTTACTGCAGCAGCCTTCGATGAATAGCAAATGCTCCCAGGAAGCTTTTGACGCTGAATCACCGCTTTAGAACGGAGTTCTCCCTAAAAAAATAACGTCTAAGCCAAATTTTTTTCCCTTAATGGAAGTTGCTGTCAATGCAACTTTACCACCGTATAACTGATCTAAAAGAACATTGTTGATGATCTCTATTTATTTGGCCATGAGATCCAAACCTAAAATTAAATGGGGTAAACATAATACAACAAGTTACTCTCTAATATGGCCAGTTCTTGACTTCAGTTATAAGGCATTGCTACGGCCAGTGTATATTAACAGTACTGCGCTGAATAACTCCCGCAAAAATTAGCAAGGCGAAACTCAGTGTTGTCAGAGTAATTTGTATTCGTCCAAATCGACCGCAAGGTGGAAGTCAGAACAACCTAAAAGGCTGCTTTTAGTTGCAACCTGAAAGAAATCGTTAGGCACAGGGTTAACGCCATTATATGCCATATTATGGTGACACGTTATTGCTGCTACAGTATGTAGCAAAGAGCTTGAGGTTCATGCCCGGCTGGCACGATAATTGCCACTCGCCTACTGATGCCGGCTTGAAAGCCTATCGAAGGTTTTTCATACATACGCATATCCACTAAGTTGTGTGGAGTCTCTTTGTTCTGCGAAAGTTCTTTATCAGTAATATACGTGAGCATTACTAGGAGAGTTACCTTCAGATTTTGGTTGTACGCCTCGAGTCGTTTGGTGAAAGGCAGGTCATTCTATAGGTTCAAAAATAGTCGTCTGTTGCCGAGGCTTTTCGAATCGGCTGCTTAAATCGCTGTATACATTAGATGAATCCTCTGCTTGTCTTCGCCTCAGGCGTTGGATTACTGTTCCAGGTGTTTAATTAATGTTGTCTTAAAGAGTAGTTTACTAATTTCGTTTAAACCTATCCTAACCTACCGACAAATAGAGAAGTAGAGGTAGCAGTCGAACTTGTCGGCAACTGGTAATCCGAGTTACCCAGCCAAAATCAATTGAGATGCCCCTTTTCTTATATCACCTTACTGTCAGAACTGTTGCCATTGTACATCATTGTGGATCATATATACGAAAAAGGCAAGTAAAAACATACAACGTGATACATCAGGGGGTTATGATGAGAATTTTGGGTCTGGACAATGATTACATGATCTTTTATGTAGGCCTTTTTACTCCGACTCACGTATTTCAAGTTTTTAATAGTTCATCTTAATATTTTTATCCAGCAATCGTCATCATCAGAAGGTCCTACTGCTTGAGGAGTTTGTGTGAGTCGACCAGGTCCCTTTTCATCAAGCTGCCTGGATTCGTGAAACAAGACTATGTTATTTGCGAATGCGAACTAGGCTTAATCCTGCTTAATTAATCCGGGCAGGGTTAAATCGGCTAAGCGCAGGGGTACTGTATTCCTGCATACACGACTGGCTTTAGCGGCTATCGAAAAATTCCAGATATGCTTGCAAATCTTTTCGTGTTGGAGAGGACAAGCAGGTGCTCAAATTAGGAACACATCCGAAGCCCTCGTCTATACGATGTAGTGCGCGAGCTACTAAATAATGAATATTAGTTGTTTTCGAATTTTCGTCTGTCGAAATAAAAAATTCACAGTAATTCATGGCATATACGGGGCAAATTGAGATTATTTTTTTTGTTTTTATAACGTCGGCGTCCAGGTTAAGCAAACTCAGTGATCCATACCTTTTTACATAGGTTGTGTTTCTGCCATACTAATATATTAACAAATGTGGGCAAAGTAATAGGAAAATAAAAAAAATGCTGTATTCGATAGAATGAATTTTTGCAGGTTATCTGCTAGTATTCGCCTGATAAGCTTCTAGATAAAATTGAGCCTGTGGCAAATACAACTTTCGAGTGATGCTTCAAGGCGGTACTCATAGCAATGGCGAGTGTCAGGATATGATTTCGAGCACTTTTTGTATCATCGATGGTTATCCATTAGACGTGCCTGGCTTGACAGCAATTCTTGGCCGGATATCCGATAACAATACATACAGCCAATCTCGAGCCCAGATAACCTCTGATCTTTTCAGAGGGACGCGATTAGCATCAACTGAATACTGCATATGTATCCTGCGCAAGAGATATAACCCTCGCTACAGATGCAGATGCGATAATAATGATCTTTAAATATTATAAGTGCATGCTATATTGGCAAACTGGGGCATGGGAGTGTTCACAAGAATGCTCATAGACCAATAGAACACTGACCACTATACCGCATCACGGCGACGCTGTTATACTCCTTCGAAGTGCTGAAGTATAATAGTAAATAGATGTATCTAAATAATCACCAAGAGTTCATCCACATAGCAACAGCCATCTCTATGAGTATACATAATCAGAGTTGGACGAAACGCTGGGTTCACTTTTGTTTATAATACTATAATGTCTTTGTGGCCTTTGATCTCGCTCAGATCTATGAGGAATACTTAATGAATGTATAAAAATACCTTGCATATTCACAACTCTTTATACGCGTGTTTCGCGTCTTCCTGTCACGTTCCACAGTTTAGGACTTCGGAAAAGCTCCTAAAATTATGCGGGGCAGGAAAGTCCATCAAGTGCCACACGGAGTAAAAGGGGCAGGGCTAGATACGGGGACCTGGCACATGGGACCCTGACGCCTTTAATAAGGGGCCTATATACGACGAAGGACGCATATTCTTATGGCCGCATCCGACCGTGTTGGATTAACTCAAACTAGTTCAAGCGGCTGTCGAAAGAGACGATGGAACAAAACTCGCAGGCGTCAGCTCGCCCACACATTGGAGATTGCGTCTCTGAAGCATA